TTGTATGCATCTACACATGCATGCATCCATCCATGTATACGTTGAGTATACATCCATCCATTCATGTAGCTGGGTTGCGAAACTGTAAGTCTGACGCCCATTTCAACGAAAAAGCTGACACAAGACGAGCCGCACTAACTTCATGCAAGCAAAACAACCGCACTGCTGTCAGCACCACTCATGAACGAAATCGATAAGTTAGACACGAGCGAGTGAGCTAGCATATATGTAGGTAGATCGAAAAACAGATAGATAGAAAGAAAGGTCGACAAGTACATAGATAGATGGACGGGTAGATAGACAAACAGAGACCGACACAGAGCAGAAAAGAGACAGAGAGAGAGAGAGAAGGATACAGAGATGGAGATAAAGACAGATACAGATGTAGATGTGGATGTAGATGAGTGCGTGTGTCCGATGCCGCGTCTAGGTCGGTATAGTTACAGGTAGATGTATCTGCTAGCAAGAGGAACCGGGGTTTTGTACTGCTGGTACGGGAGGAGGTCGGAATCATGCAACTCCTAAGCTCAGCCCTGGGCATGCCTGGTCCTTCAGGTCACCCCCGTCACCACCCCCAAACTCAAAAGCTTTACTGTATAGCTTCGGAGGCCTCAGATTCTGGGATACTCTTTTGTGTTTAGAGCTTGTACAGGGCTTTCAGTTTTCTCAAAGTCCCCCGAAATGTGCCAAGACCCAGCCTCTGGAGGATGTAGAAGAGGATGGGCAAGGGGATGGTGATTACCAGGTCCTGTCAGCAAGGTCTGCGGTGTGCACAGGGTTTAGGGTTTAGGGCTGCAGCTTGTGTGTTGTATGTATGTGTATGTAAACATACACATACGTACATATGCATATATACATGTCACACATCCGTGAGAGTATTGAATCCTTTTTACATACTTACACATGTCTACATGGAGTCGTGTCCTCGATCAGCAGGCGCGTGAAGTCCCCAGAGTCCACTGCCGCATTTACCAGCGGCCCGGTGGCCATGTTCGTGAGCCCGGAGAAGACCTAAAAACCCCTAAACCCTAAACCTTCAGGGCTCCTTTCTGGGGGTTTCCTGAAGGCCTCCTGTACTTGGAGGGCCGGAGGCCTTAGTAAGGAGGTAGTAAGTAGAGTTATACATGCCTTAAGTAGGACGATTATAGGGTTTAGGGTTTTTAGGGTTTAGGGTTTAGGGTTTAGGGTTTAGGGGTTATGGCATTTATAGCTCACTAGTTGCTAGGTTTCTCGACCCTCCAAGTAAGGGCTCTGTTGGGGCTCCTTTAGCACAATCGGT